TCGGTCCTGCAAGTTAATTATATATTCGGGACTTATATTTGTATGTCATATGCAAATAGCCCGAGAAAATGTGAGGATTTATGTCGTACCAAACGACGACCTCAGAATCCTAAAAAGTTTAGGACTTATATCGTACGATATAAGATCGTAGAAAGTCCTAAAAGATTGTGTATGAGGGTTTACGTCGTGTTAGATGAACGACCTCGACGTCCTATAGGTATGTTAGTTAAGTCTATGGAAGTCGGTTGAAGTTCCTCATGCCGTCTTCTGTTGTTGTCTTGGTCGTCTCCCAGAGATAAATCATCAATCGACCACGTCGTCGTCTCGTTCCAAGATGAGGAGAGAGAGAAGAGAGAAAACCATGCCTCAAACGGCCTATCCTTATACAAACATACTAGGATAACAATATTTAAAGAATATGAATATAGATGAATGTCTATAATACAATGTAGTAAAGAAAAGGAACAGTTGTGTAATAAAGTACTCTAACAGAAAAAGAGTGAAGCAAAACTACGAAAGTAAAGCAATATAATGAAAAGAAAGACTATGCAGTAAATAAAAGAATCTACAGTAAAGAAAGAAAACTGAAGCAACTAAGTGTACCTGATTTATTCTGGCAATGTTCTAGGAAATTATAAAAGAAAACTCAGAAATAAGAATGCCCAAATCAAGAAACAGAACAGCTCACGATCCTTCCTCAGAGTAAAAAAAATGCCACCCTATTCCTCCCCCACGAAAGTATTTATAGCCATCGAGTGGACAAGGGGCTCACGGCAAGGGAAATGCACAAACCCAAGAGCGAGAGGGTTACCAAATTCGTTGTGCGGGAAAAGCCGTTACAAGAAAGTGACCGACAGTTTTGACCGGAGAAGAAGGTAAGCCGCAACTGCAGAGGAATAAGGTGACTGGAGAAACTAGAAATGGGGCCTCCTTACTCGGCCGAGAGGAGTAAAGGGAGTTAGGGCATGTTTCATTCCCAAGAGAAGAGGAGGCACACATGAGGGAGAGATTAGAGCTTAGGGATTTTAAAACCTTTTTATGAAAAAAAGATTTTATTATTATTTTTTTAAAAGAAACTATCAAATTTTGTGCAAGCGCGGTGCACCAACAAAATGAGTGTTCTTCCTAACTAAAATTGAAGTTCCTGACGCAACGGCATGGTCCGTTTCATCATCCGGGGTCATCCGGACACATTCGTCGATGATCGAGCCAAATTAACCTCAGTTTGTACGTGTTGCGACAAATAACATTATTTTGGTCTTATCAGAGTCGTTTAATGACTAAAAATAAAAATGCTGACCGACCCTCGCATAAGTGACAACCAAAGTCAAACACATCGCTCGTGGTGGCAAGTCAATTGTCATACACGTCATGGTGTCCACCCGTGTCTTTTGAATTTCTATGGGAGTTCAATTTGAGCTTCAATATGTCGGTTTTTCAATCAACTCAATCAAATGTTGAGGATCTGAAACTGCTCACACGAAACTTCAAAAAGCAAAGTAGCTCGAATTTCTAAGTGGTGTAGATCCCAGTCTAGTCCTCTAAGATAATCAAATAGGAAATCCTAAGGCTAGATCTTAGGGTATCTAAGGAAGGGAAAAGAAGACCTCAAAATGAGGTCAACATACCCCCGCAATGTGTATAACGTTGGCTCGGACAAGCCCATATGAGTCATCTTTTGCAGGTGCTTTCCCTTGTCGTTGATTGTGTGCTTTGGGAACCATAAACTCTTTGAGTTTTCCATCTTGAATCAACTCTTTTTGTCTTTATGGTACTTGTAAAACTTGTTGGTGTTTCAAAGGAAAGCTCTGGCTCTTATCTATGGAGCCTTTTAGACATATTCCTTATACTTAATAGCCTCCACTAGCTTTGACATCAAGACCCTCGGCTGAGTGGGTCTTAGCGCTCACCGACCTTCAGTTAAGTGATCATTCAATCAGCTTCACCTTCATGAATTTTGATCAGCCTCTCTATCTCCATGGGACAACAAACCTCTTTCATGCTTGGGGTGACAACCCACCCTTCTCCCTCCATCTGTAGTCTCGTAAGACATTTTTGCCGAAATGACAGTCAAATTTCTCATCTTTTTAGGCATGTGGATTTACATACTCTTCTATTGTGATATGGTCGTTGTCCAGCTTCAAAAGTTGGACTAAAGTTTTGAGTTTTTACAACCCCATGAAGTACTTGAACTGTGCACTCTTCAGTACTAGCTCTAGGGCGGCTTTTGCGTTCGCTGGCTCCAGTTTTCGTAATTCTAGCATCTCCTTATGAAACCATGTAATGTATGTATGAAGACTCTGAGATTTTTCTACTCATTCGACTCCTTGAGCTTTCTGATGGCTATAAGACTCAAGTGTTGGAGGATTAGGTGATGAGAGAAGTTTTGCTCTCCTTTTAAGCACCACATTGGTTTGTTTCATATTCTGGCCCGCTGCCCTATCCTAGAGCTTCTGAATTCATTGTTACACTAATTTTCTGATTGACTCCATGTTTGAAGTTTCTTTTATGTGTGTCATTTGTGACACGCTCCTCTTCCTGTTGATGTCACGTCTCCATGCTCACTTCTCCTTTTAGGATGTTGAATCCCAAAATCTCCTTTGGGTCATGCCTTGGAATATAGTGTTGGTCGAACGAAAAGAATAAGGGAGAATAGAAGACAGAGATTGGGGGAGAATAAGAGAGTATGCAAAAAATAATATTAATTTGCTTGGAAAAGATTCAGTAGTCTTTCTTAAAGAAATGACCCTTCTATTTATAGATCATAGAAGGATTCTAATAAAATGCATGCCAGTCCCTCAATTAATAGGAACATTATAAGTGATTTATGAGTCATTACACATTTACATATTTGTAACTGACCTTGATATCTTTTGACCCTGATAACCGCTGTTGGCACTGTTTCGTATTGGTAACTACTAATGGCACTTTTCATATTCTTAATTGCTTGACTTGGCCACTTCATCATCATTCAGCCGCATAAGAGATCATTCGTCTTGCTAATAGATCTTTAGTCGGCTGATAAATCCTCGGTTGACTTCTCTAAGGGAAACCTTTTAAGGGACCTCTTATCCTCCAGAGTGTTTGTTCCATTAAGCAAAAAGTGATTTATTGTAATCTAATGGATAACCTTCCTTCACATGAAAGTTCTTTATAGAAGGGAGAGAGGGAGAGAGAGAGAGAGAGAGAGAGAGTTCTCTTGAGTGAACTTTGATCTTTTCTATGAGCGACCTGATATTAGTTGAGTTGCCATCGGTTCAGGTTTGGAGCATCCTTTGGTTCAATCGTACTTTCATTTGGTTGTCCTATGATCCGACTAACTGAAATGATGATTGATGACTCAACCTTTTGACTGTGAGAATGTGGTCATTTGTTATCTTCATACTGTAACCAATTGGATTTCTCGTGATTCGTGTAGTCAGAATTCCAATGTACATGTATTAAGCATTTACATTATTTTATTATATTTAACAAATAGAAGAAGAATATATTAATGTCATTTTTATTGATTCAAGAAATAATATTTTAATTTAAGACAGTATTTTTAAATATTTTGAATAAAATTATAAATAACAAAATTTAAGACATGATATTTTCTCTTTTGTAATTTAAATATATTATTTCTGATCATCCGATAAAAACCGAAAGACTAAAATTGAATAATATTTGAACTGATAGGTTTTTTAAAAATTAGAGCGATTCACTGATTATTCGATTCAACCCCGGTTCTATGCAGAAATGATAGTGAGCTTAAACCAATCTGGTTGAATGACCAGTTGAAGATTGAACTGTTTAAACAGATTTTTAAAACTGTGAATAAATAGATGTGATTAACTATAAAATATATTTGTTTCAAAATATATATTTTATTTAATATATATATTTTTTGCCAAATGAACTCAATTTGTAATTCTTAAAATAATGCCTATATTTTAGTTCCACACGGAGCTATCGAAAATTAGCTAAATTGAGAAGCTCCATAAATCCTTGGAAGAGTGGCCTTGCTTTAATGCGGCTTTTAAATAATTAAATAAAATTTTTAATTAGTGTTTAAATTTGAGATGGCTCATTAAGTATTTAAATGGGCCGAACACAAGTTAATTTGAATAAATAAATTTTAATTCACAAATCATTTTTAATACAAGTCAAACATGAATAATATAACATTCAAATGAGTTGAACAAAATAATAAAAAAATTGATCGAGTTGAACACAAACAGGACTTTCCTCCCTCAAACCTAGTTTGCTTATGCCCATATCTTTAATCGTTAATGAAGATTTTAAGTGAAAATTTTGATTTTTTTAAATGTTATATTTAAAATTTTGAAGATTAATATGTTATACTAAATCTCTTAGTTGATTAGTATGTAAAAACTCAATGTGTGCACACATATATAAGAGTTGCATGGAAAAAATATTACATCAGTACTACGCACGTAGAGTAACGTGCGTACCCAATGAAATCACGCCACGATACCCCGCGCGACGCAAAAAAAAAACGGCACAGTAACACGGGGAATATCCTCCCGTGTTATTCATGTGTTATTGTGTGTTATTCATGTGTTATTCATGTGTTATTGTGTTATTATAACACGAGGAATATTCCCAGGATACAATAACACATGAATAACACACAATAACACATGAATAACACGGGAGAGAATATTCCCCCGTGTTATTTCGCCATTTTTTTTCTGAAATAAAAAAATACAAATGAATTGGTCGGCATTCATGTAAATGCCCGTGTGTTATTCATGTGTTATTGTATCCTGAGAATATTTCTGGTGTTATAATAACACAATAACACATGAATAACACATGAATAACACACAATAACACATGAATAACGCGCAATAACACATGAATAACACAAGAGGCAATATTCTCCGTGTTACTGCGCCGTTTTTTTTCCTCTGCCGCATAAGATGTCGTGACGTGTTTTGATTGACTACGCACGAGTTGCATGAAGCATGGAATGGAAAAGCCTTCTAATTCTAAACATGGACAGTGAGCTCATCAATGAGAGGAGTTGAAGAGTCGCAGTCGCAGAGTAGAAAAAAGCGAGGAGACCAGAGCTATCAGATCCTCATGTGAGAGTGCTTGTTTGGTAGCTGATTTAAGCTTTGGTGCTTTACTAGGAACTCTCCTAAGCTTTGCTTGCTTCAGAGAAGCCGGAGATGGTGGAGCTACTGCCGGATATCCAACAGCTTTTCCGTCATTACAACGCTCTCTACTTCGATGATGCTCTGGGAGCTTGCAATGTCGGCTGGTCACCGCTATTGCGCAGGTGAAAGTGAAATTACTCTCATTTCTGTTTTGAGTCGAAGAAAGTTTTGGTAGATTTCCTTGTTTTTGTTCTCTTCTTTCAGATTCAAATTGGTGGAGTGAACGGCCCTAATTCATTTAAGCTTGTTCTTATGTGGTTTTTTATTTGGTTTCGTGAAGATTTTACTGCTGTTGTTTTGAATGCCTGGTGTCTTTGTAAGATTTGTGCATTTAGGGCTATTTTGTTTGAGTGTTCAATGTTTGAAAGTGGTGGAAGCTGAGTTCAAATGGCGGGTTTGATGATTTTTGGTTTTCCATAAATTCGATTTAATGATTGTTTGCATTTTAAGGAAGATAAAATTTCATCCATTTTTTTATAATGAATTGAAGTAATTCTAAATCAATTTTTTGAAGTTTAATAGTATTTAATTAAATTGCAAAAATAAGGAAACTTTATAACTCTTATCTTTAAGAACACGAGTCTCAAAAAATAAGAACTCACTTTCAGTCAATTTCTATGTTGAAGACTGACTGAAATTTAATTACAATTGCTTAGAATAAAACAAAATGATCTTAGCGTGTTTAAACACTAGAAGATGAGCAGAGTCCCTGCTATTCATTGAGGATGATTAGAACTTGTAAATGTTTTTTTCTGTTGAAAATTATGGAATCCAAAGTTTTTTTCCATGAGAGAAAACCTCTCCATAGTCTGAAAAAATATGCAACTTGTGATTCAGTGCAAAAATAACACTTATATCTTACAGAGTAACATATGCTCTGGTTACTACATTATATGCCTGCTTTTTCATTGAAATTTGTTCACAAAATAGTGTCTTTAAGTTATTTGCAGATAGTTTGGCACCATGATAACTTATTCTACTTTAAATATTAGTTTAAGTATCACATTCTATGAGTTTTTGTTTATAAAGATTACAATTATCTTACCTTGAAGAACTATCTGCTTCTCTCCTTACCTTTGAACCTTCTTTTCCTGCTGGCCTCCTTAAATCAGTAAGCATTTTATCATTGAGCATCCACTTGATTAAGTGTAACAATGTAACATTTACTCACTCAAATTAAGGATTTAATAAATCAATTGTTTACTTTCCAGTGCTTTATATTTCACATGGTTATGCTCCTAGTTTTGTCCCCTTTTTTTTTTTGTTTTGAGATTAGAGAAATTGGAATATATTGGAAATGCTTTTGAGTTTATGCACTTGTACTATCATTTTGACATTTGCCAATAATTTTTTCTTTTGGGGAAAAATGTCATAATGATTTTAGTGAGCAAATTCATTTATTTATCCTTAAATAGTATGCACATTTACTATGCATTTTGAAGGCATCATTATATGAAATTTATCAAAATTTTTTTCTTAGCATTTTCATTTATTTATCCTTTCTTGGTTTGTGCATTTAGTAAACATTTAAAACACATCAATATGTGTATTTGTTCACGTGATGCAGTAATAGTTCAACATGTCTATATATTGAAGCCTATCGCTGTGAGATACGCTTGTCAAAGCGTCTACTGAGACATATTTCATCCGCTGATCTTAAAAACTCATTATTGCATGAAATGATTCATGCATTCTTATGGATCAAGCAAAAGAACAAGAACCGGAGGTATCACTTCTTTTTATTCTTATTATGCTGGTTAAATCATGTAGCATGTTTTTAATTTTTGGGATATTTACATACATACCACTCAATTCTCATGTATTTACATATGCAACACCTAAACTTTGATTTTTTACATTTATATCACTGAAATATTTCATATCACATAAAAGAATACCACTATCTCTACTTCTAAAATTTGAAATACACCTTTTTATGCATAGGTAAGATGACATATATGTAAAAATTGAAGGAGTGGCATGCTATATATATATATATATATATATATATATATATATATATATATATATACTGTTTGTTTTCTCACGGAGATTCTATATTTTGTTGGACAAGTAAGCACGGTCCCAATTTCTGGGCTCTAGCGAAAGAAATCAACAACAGCTGTAAGGATGATAATCAGGTTTGTCTAAAACGACCTTGCTTGTATAAACTTGAATTTTAAGGTGAGATTGCTCTTAATTTATGCCATTATTATATTCTTTTGTAAATTGTGAGCATTCATCATATTTTTGGCTTGTAAAAAACTTATTGGCAGATGTCATAATGATAGTATAAGAGTATACGTGCATGAAACTCAATAAAATTTCTAACATATTTCAATTTCTCTAGCTCAAAAAAAAAAAAAAAATCACCAAACTAGGGGCATAAATATGTGAAATATAGTGCAATGGAAAGTTCACAATTGGTTTTTTAAATAATTAATTTGAGAGAGTAAATGTTACACTTAATCAAGTGGATGCTGAATAATCAAAGGCTTACAGATTTAAGGAGGCTTGTAGGTTAAAGTTAAGGAGCGAGGTAGATAGTTCAAGGTAAGATAATTGTAAACTTCCTAAATAAAAAATCATATGTGATACTTCAACTGAAATTCAATTAGAATATACCATCATGATACTGAATAATCTGCAAGTAACTTTAAAACCCTATTTTGTTGACAAATTTCATTGAAATATCAAATACATATTATAGTAACCATGTCATGTGTTACCCTGTAAGGTATAAGTGCTTTTTTTATGCACTGAACTCCACAATTTATATATATATTTAGCTTATTGAGTGGTTTTTTCATGGAAAAAAAACTTTGGTGTCTATAATTTTCAACAACAAAAAACCCTTACAAGTTTTAAGCAACCTCAAAGAATAGCAGAGACTGCTCATCTTCAAGTGTTTAAGAACACTAGGGTAAATTTATTATATCGCATGCAATTGAAATTAAATTACAGTCCTTCTTCGACAAAAAAATGAATGAAATTGAGTCCTTATTTTTTGAGACTCGTTTTCTTAAAGTTGAAAAAGTTGCACTTTTTATTTAGTTTGAAAGTCACCTAATTTTTGTTGATTCAATGAAATAATATGAAACCTTAAAGTGTTGATTTATAATTACTTTAATTCATTATAGTAATAAAATATTATAAATTTAATAAAAAAAATTGTATGAAGTTTATTTCCTTGAAGGATAAACATAAAAAACGAGTTCATGGAAAAGAAACAATCATCGAACCCACTTTTTTGAACAGGACTTCCACCATTTGGAAACAATTACACAAACAAAATAGCTCTAAATGCACAAATCCTTACATGGACACCTGCATTCAGTAAATATTGGTGAAAGCTTGACAAAAATAAATAAAAACCTCATAAGCACAATCTTGAATGAATTACAGCTGCACACTCCATCTATTTGAATTGAAAAGAAGACAGCAAGAACAAGTAAATGTGCCAGAAGTTTCTTTGACTTCACAAGAAAACAAGGAGTGCATTCCGGATAAGGCATTCTCGGTGCCCAGGTGACAGCGCAATCTCCCAGAGCATCATTGAATTGGTGAGCGTTGTAATGACGGAAGAGCTGTTGGATATCCGACGGTTGCTCCACCATCTCCTGCTTCTCTGAAGCCAACAAAGTTTAGGTGTTAGATATGTATCTACATAGGACCTGAGTGGTATGTTTGTAAAACTTCAGAAGATATAATAGGCTAAGAAGCTAATATGTGAACCTAAAGGTAATGTGGAAAATTAATGTTGTTAAGATTTTCCTGGTATCATAACTGAAGAATTGACATGGTATGGATTTCTCATAGGCTTTAAACATAATAATAAACATGGAAATCATTTTTCCTTGCGTGCTAGTAGAATCTCCTCGATCATGTTTCTCTTAGTATGTTAATATACATGAAGATGATAAACTATACCTTTTATTTAATTTTTATTGAATTTGTTAACAGTCTACAATATTAAAAAAATATTAGCAAAAAAGGTTATGCTGCTGGAAGTTTAGGGAGAGAGAGAGAGAGACAGATTTTGTATTTATATTTTAGGAAATACAAGAGAGATTCTTGCGACAATATATTTGAAACTATTGGATGCATTACTTGATTTGCATAGGATAATGTTTCAGGTGATGAGAATATTATTTAACTTATTTTTATACATGGATGTAATTGATACCGGAGTAAACCAGAATGACAAAAAAAATGCAAACTTTTATTACTAAAATTAAATAGAGGTTACAACTTGCACACTCGGAACTAGGAAATAACGAAACACAACTCAAATCCAAACTAGGGCTTAGGTTAAGGTGGTGGCTGGTTCAGTGGATTGGAAGTGGGGAAATTGGATGTAACAACAGGTTGGGCTATGGAGGGGGTTTACGGTATAGCTGAGAAGTGACTGGTAGTGAGTTACGATAGGGTGGAAGGCTGGTAAGTGTAGTTACAACAAGGAAGGCTGGTAAGTGTAGTTACGACAGGGAAGATTGCTGGCTGGGAGTAGGAGACGGGTAGCAGAGGTTGCGGCCTAGCAGGATGGTTTGCGATAAATCTCTCAAGGTTAATAGTCATACGCTTGCTGTCACCAGACCCTCTGTGGCTTGTGTGTTAGTTGAGAGAGATATCACTCAACCAGCTTCGGATGAGGTATGAATTAAACCACTCACAACGAGTATTGACAAAAGGTTGAAATAGAACCACATCTTTCTTATTGCTCTTATTGTAGTATGTTTGGCCATAGTTCTATTATTTGCTATCGCTTGCATCCTCATCTAAGACCGGATATTGCTAAAAATCAGTCACCTACCATCCCTGCTGAGAAGGTGCAACTCGATCCTCTTTCGAACACTGCAGTTTCGGATGAAGAACATCATACTACAGGTACATATTTAAACGTGTTTATACCACTCACTGTTATTGAAGAAGACTCACATGTCATGACACACGAGAGTGCTTCTTTGTTCCAATAAAAGATTAGCTGGTACAACAAGTAGTTGCTTCTAATGTTCAACAACTTACACATGTCCGACTCACTTTAGATTAATCCTCTGATCAGGTGAGTCATTCTTTAGATGAGAAATGACAGGTCTATTCTAGGAGGAAGAAGAAGAATGGAGCCCGACTCGAGCTCGGGAACTTATTGGATGATACATTGGTTACTACTGACAATGACACTCATCTTACCAATTTATTAGCTGGCTCCTTTACTAGAACTAGAGGCAGAGCTAAGACAAAATTGAGTCGCTCTCTAGCTACATGATACTACGTATTTTGACACTTTTGATTTTTTCTTTAACTCATGTATTTTTCTGTATTTTCTCTTTTTGAAACCATTTGCATGTGGTGGTTATCGTGTGGGCAGGGTGCCATGCTTGGGCCCTCCCACAATCTGTCTGCATTCTTCTTTCTTTTTAATATATATATATATATATATGACGTCGTCTCCCACGCTCAGCTCTGCTAGGGTTTCGACCCATGTCAAACCTTAGTAACCCTTACCTCACTGCAAGATCATTTCTCCGACGTCGTCTCTCCTCTCCGTCATCGTCATCTCTCCTCTCACGTCTCGTCGTCTCCGTTCGAAGCTGACTATCGCATCTCGTCGCCTCTCCGACAGAGTTCGCTCGTTCTGTTCGATTACATCTCACGGAAGGCGGGAACCTAGTTTCCTCCTTTCGTCTTCCTTCTCGACTCAGCTCGACTGCACCGAGTTTTGGTCTCTTCGGTTCCTGATCTGCCCTGACCGACTTGGCAGGGCTTCTAAGCTGTGATGGAGCTTCCTTCTTCTTTAGTTGAACCTGACAAAGTCTCATTTGCCCACGTGGTGGGTAATCCTCAGGTGGAAACAACGGTTGTCTTCCTCTCAAGTTATAAGGAATATCGTGATGGTACATGTGATTGCCCATTTATTAAGAATACAAGCAGGAGAAGTGGGAAAAAAACACTCTTTTTTCGGAGTTAGAAATTTCAACCCTTACTTACAAATTCAAATTTGCTCTTATTGAAAAACTTCAGTGGGGGCACCCACCTATGAAAGCTATCAGAAAATGTTTTGATAATCTCAAATTTGTAGGAAAGTGGAAAGTGAGGCTTATGGATAGGAGACATGTATTGATCCAATTAACCGTGGCTGAAGACTACACTCAGATTTTCTCCAAAAAATATCTTAGCATTGCTGGTAAATCAATGAAGCTACACAAGTGATATCATGATTTTGACCCTAATCATGAACCTCCGACTGTACCGGTATGGTTCAGTCTACTAGGCCTTTCATCATAATTTGAAATCTAAAGATCAAGTAAATAAGGATGGATCTAATCCCACTACTCTGGACATAATTGTTTTATCTGGAGAGAAAGCTACCGCAGGACAAGTTTCGGATATCACTAAAGATCAACCACCTACCATCTCTGCTGAGAATGTGCAAACCGATTCTTTACCCAACATCGCACATCGCAGTTCCTACGCAGTTCCTAATGAAGAACATCATACTACATGTACAAATCCAAAAGTGCTTATACCACTTACTGTTATTGAAGAAGACTCACTTATATGCCAAGACACACCAGAGTGCTTCTTTGATTTAATCAAAGATCAGTTGGTACAACAAGTGGTTACTTATAATGTTCAGCATCTGTTCAACACCCTACATATGTCCGACACATTTTAGACCAATCCACTGATTAGGCGAGTCAATCTTCGGATGAAGAATGTTAGGTCTATTCTAGAAGGAAGAAGAAGACTGGAGGCCGACTCAAGCTTGGAAACTTATTGGATAATACTTTGGTCACTACTGACAATGACATTCATCTTACCAATTTATTATCTGGCTCCTTTTCTAGAACTAGAGGTAGAGGCAAAGAAAAATTGGGTCGCTCTCTAGCTACCTGATACTACGTTTTTTTGGCATTTTTTGTTTTTTTGTTTAGTTATCTTGTATTTTTCTCAATTTTCTCCATTTTTGGAACTTTTTGTATGTGATGGTTATCGTGGTGGGCGGGTGTCATGCTTGGGCCCTTCCACACAATCTTTATGTATTCTTATTTCTTTTTAATATATTAGCCTTTGGGCTTTATCAAAAAATAAAAAAAAATAATATATATATATATATATATATATATATAATATACGCAATTGGTAGATTGTTAGTTGGTAGAGCGTAAGTCTCCATGGGTCTGGGTTTGATTACACCTGACTCGATGAGGGAAGTTTTTTCTGGTATGGTTGGGGCTTGATCGATCAATAATAAGGTATATATGTATATATATGTATATATATATGTATATAGACGCAACTGGTAGATTGTTGGTTGGCAGCTTCAACATAAGTCTTCTGGGTTTTTGGTTTGATTACATCTGACTCGAATCAGCACATATGGGGTGGACAGACACATGTTGTCGTCCATATATATATATATATATATTTATTTGATTACATAAAGAAGAAAAATAATGAAAATTAAATGCTTAAATAATGTAAGTTTATTAGCCAGTTAAAATAATAATTAACTAAGTTTTGTAATATGAATATACAAGTTTATTATAGACATCAATTTTTATGAGAGTCGACGTCAAGACAAATTATTTGACATCAAAGTGAGTACTTTTATGTTTATACTATGATAATGGTTTGCTTCTTCTCTCTGCATCTCTTCTTGAGTAGGTTTAGGCATGTATCTTTTTGGTGGCATGACTACGATTTAGAGTTGAGAGGTAAACGAGGGTGTAAAAATTGATTTAAGGTTTCTGATTTGCAAGGAAATATTAGGTCAAAGTTGGCTTCTTTCGCCCATTTGACTTTCCCTGTCACCATCGAGGGTAAGTCTCCATGGGTTTCATTCTCAATGTATGTAAGACTCCACCGAATTTGACAGATCTCTTGTTGTATTTTTTTCTCGGGCAGGCTCAAACATGTATTTTTTTGGTGGCATGGTCAGGGTTTTATGGTTAGGAGGTGAAAGAGGCTGTACAAATCGATTTAAGGTTGTTGATTTTGAAAACTAGCAAGAGAAAACTATTGTTAGGTCAAAGTTTGGCTATGATTTGGGAATATTAAAGATTTTTTTTTTTTTTTTTTTTGGTTTTGGTATGGCGGATGCTTGGAAACCCTAAGCTAGGACTAGAGCTAAGTTAGTTCTAATACCAAATGATGCGGAGCTAACTAAAATGCCAACGTAAATGCAACTTCTATTTTTGAAATCAAATAGAGGTTAAAACTCACACACTAGGAAATAACGAAACACAACATATACCTAAACTAGGGCTTAGGTTGAGGTGGTGGTTGGTTCGGTGGATTGGAAGTGGGGAGGCTGAATGATTTACGATAGAGAGGAAGGCTAGTAGTGGTACTTATGACATAGAGGATTGCTTGTTGGGAGCTGACGGGTAGAAGAGGTTGCGGCCTTGGAGGAAAGCAAGGAAAGACTTGAGGCTTAGCAGGAAGGAGGCTGGAGGCATTTGCGGCACGACAAAGAAATAGGGAGGGGTTTTTGTAGCAATAGCAGATACGAGACTTGGGATTGGTGATTGGAATAGGGAAGAGGGAGGAGTGAAGGAGGGGGGCAAGACACAATAAAGGGGAAGATTCACACTACCGTTGGACGAGTTATGGATGGAGCACTTTTCCCATTGGATACAATCCTAGAAGGGAAAATCGAAAGTTCGCGGTTGTCCCCCCCCCCC